CAAAGTTTTTGAGCTGCCATTTTTGGCTGTCTCCGGCAAGGTTGTGTGCTGTCTTTTGGTTGATTGTCAAGACGTGATTTTCTTGCCATATGCCGAAATGAAGTTACAAGCTGTTGCCTATCTACCCTGCTCTTCCACTGTCGCCCTCTCTCTCTATCTCCCTAAGTCACTTGGACAATTTCATCAAAATTTGCCGAGTTTTGTCTTCATTTTTTGGCACCCAAATATCTTACAATTCACAACTTTCAATTTCTCTTTTGATTAGTTTTGTGTGTGGGCAGCATTTGAATTTGAATTCGAATTCGAGTTCGAATTTGGGCTTTTGGCTATTCAGCTTTTGCGTTTAATGTTTGTTTAATAACTGAAAAATCATTCAAGAGTCGCATACTTAGTGCCCACGCAGTCCAGTTATGTACATAGATATGTATGTATATCGGCTACATATGTATATATATACATATCTGTATATAGTTATGTGGGCTTTGCCGCCAGCTAGATACTGATACAGTTTCGGCTACAGATACAGATACAGATACATAGCCTTAGATACAGATACACATATGCGTTTGCTTTTTATGGACTATCCAACTTTTAAGACTCTGTGTGTGTGTGTGTGTGTGTGTTGGTAGTGCTGTGGCCGTGTGTGTGTTTCTTTGGGCAACATTAACTAGGCCACTGAACATCCAGCTGTTGTTGTTGCCTAATTTGTAGCATGCTTAAAGTTTTCAGAACTGAAATATTTAGAATAGGATTTTATAAAGCTAGCTTTAAATACTTTAATAGAATAAGACATACAAAAGTCGTCACATATCTAAATTATGTCGCATATATGTAAATGATAACTTAATTAAATAAATTCAATCATTTGTTGTATTTCATATGATTTTGGTTTTGATGTCTGTTATGATTATGTTATTAGCATGTTATTAAATTATCGCCTTTCTATGCGATTCACATATGGGAACGACAGACTGCAGTGTTTTCTATCCATGTAATTTACAAATTTCCAAGTCAAATCTTTTATTGAGATCAGGTTACTTAAATTACTTAAATGGATATACTTCGGGGGTTAAAACTCTGTTATAGTAGTAAAATTTCGTTTAATCAAGATTGTAATCCATAATTTTTACTAATACTCCATTCTTTTATCTACCTGCAGACATATTCCGGTCTTTTCTGCGTTGTGGTCAATCCCTACAAGAAATTGCCAATCTATACCGAAAAGATAATGGAGCGGTATAAGGGCATAAAGCGACACGAAGTGCCTCCGCATGTATTTGCAATAACGGACAGTGCCTATAGAAATATGTTGGGTGGTAAGTGACTACGATAAGGGGCTATATATCAGACGCTATTTATTTATATACATATATATAACTGCATAATCTGCTGCGCTTCATAAACATTTGCCCAGTTATTTTTTTTCTTTTGCGATTTTTTTTTATATCGCAATTTTTGTGCTTTATCGAAATAAAAATTCTCGACTACAGCAAATAAACAAAATGAATTAAAAATGCTAAGAAGAAGAAAGCAAACAAACGAACGTACCCAGAAATACCTTGATAAGATATCAGCAAAGCCGACGAAGAGCTGAAAATTTCTGCGAACTGCGTGACTGCAGAAATCCATGAGAGACTCTCTTAAGTTGGTCAGACTTTAGGCCTTGACGTCAACAGCGCACCGCCCCGCCCCGCCCCTAAAATAGCAGCGGTAAAACATAGTGATTCATTCCATACAATAGATGACCAAGCCAAGTTTTAAATAGTATCTGGGTATATACATATGTATATATGCTATATATGTATGCTCGAGCATATATAAAAAGAGTGTTTTGCATATTCCTAATCTGAAACTGAAAACTGGTTTCCTTTTTGACTCAGTTTTTGTTTGTTTTGGCTACGGTATTTTGCATACCCTAAAGTGGATAAATGGGCCGAAAAGAGGTATATTGCTAGAGCAGGAATTGAAGTGATATATATTGAAATATATTAGAGAAATATGTGTATATAAAGATAAAAGAGAAATATATGAATAGTATATTAGATAAATATTTATATACAGTATTGATCTGATGCCCATAAATGGGAGTTGAATGTTATTTAGCTCAAGATTTGGATATTGAAGATGTCGGAATATGGTTCTACTCTTATATTACTTTTATAGAGCAGATTGTGACTTGTTAAAAAGTCAAGGCAGTCCGTCTATAAAAGACTAAACAGAAACTAGGTAGTCTGGGGTGTTTGCTAGTCGAGCACACTCTCGCTTGCTGCTGTTGTTGTTGTTGTTTTTTTTTTTTAATAGAGTAGTTGGGCTGCATTTCAAGCGTAACGTAGATTTGTTAGTGCGAATGACTCATCTGCTGTGGAGCTTGCAAAACATATGCACAACTTCTCTGGCCAGCTGAACTGCTGCTGCCCCACACGAAACTCCCCCAAGCCAGCTCCCCCCCTTCGATATTGCGTTTATACGTGTCATTACCATATTTGGGCCTAGAACGCGAAACGCTGTGTCTGGCAATATGAAAATATATATGAAATGAAGAAGAGGAAGAAGCAGAAGACGAAGAAGAAGAAGAAGGAGAAAAATAATATAAAAAAAAATAAAAATGTTTAAACACTTTGTCACCATATTTGCCGCTTAATCAATTTTCGTTTATGCACAATTTTTTTAATGCTTGAGGAGGGGGGAGGGGGCTGGTCGAGTATTAAAATGTGCACACGATTTGGACTTTGACTTGAACCGAAAAAGAGAAAAATAAAACAAAACTTGAACAGCAGCGGGTGCGGCTTTCAGCCTGCTTTGATTTATTTGTGGCTGCTCCACAATCTACCTACCTATATCTATATCTATATATAAAGCTCTTGTCTCTGGGCTCAGGCCCGTGCCCGTGCCCAGCCCAGCTGAGCCCATCCCAAGCCGTCGTCGTCGTCGTCGTCGTCAAAGCCATCTCTGCTCCGTATCTCATTCTCTCGCCACATTGGCCCCAAGCACGCACCACTTGACCGTCGTCCGCTCGCTCTGGCCATTGGTCACCTTTGCGGTTTCTGCTGCCAACTGCAATTTTAATTTTAATTTTTCTTTTCTTTGCGTTTCTGTATTTTATTTTATTTTTTTGGAATTCCATTTTGACTGCCAAGCAGCGCTTCATAATGCTACCAATGTCATAAGTTTTGCTGTTTATGACAGCCAACAGACACGCCCTCAAGGCGCTCATTGTTGTTGTTGTTGTTGTTGTTGTTGTTGTGTTACAGAAACTGCAAAAATGCGTCTTGGGTCAGTTTTTAGTCATATGTCAGATGGCTTAAGGAGTGCCAGCTAAATTAACTGGAATACCACTAATGTTAAGTAGGTGGATTAAGTAAAGCAAGTTTATAATTGATGTAAGTCTGTGGAAGAGCAGTTCTTAGATAATAAATGTACTAGCTCAACTAATTATAAACGTAAATATTGTTAGAGATTGGATATATTTGAAATATAAATGATAAGGGATTCTACTATATATGTATGTATGTATGCTATTAGTATTCGAATATTTCTAAACATAAATGTTGTTAGAGATTAGGGATAATGGATCAAAGCGCTCTTTCGATAGCCCCCAGCTCTTTAAGAAACTGTCTAAGTTTATACTTGTTAATATCAATATTTTAATTGCAGAGATTATATTTTATATATATGAAGAGAAGTACTAAAAATAATATTCTCAATAATTTATTTTAAGAGACTTTTCTCAATAATATATCATAGATTAGTAATAGAAATAGGCATTATTTCATAGATTGCTTTATTAATGCAACATGTTCTTGATATTTAAAGCTAGCTAAATAGCCCATGCTCAATAGATCTCTCTCAAAATGTGCTCCATAATAATCTTTTCCCTTCGTCTGTAGATAACAAAACACAGCAAGCCAAATATAGTTTTTTTAATTAATACAAAATGGCATATTTACACGCATCAGCCATCAGACATCAGACTTCAAAGTAATTCTGGCTGATCTATAATAATAATTTTGATTTTCCATGAGATCTCTCAAATGTTTGCAGTTCGCAACGCTTCAATGAATTTTTGCTCCAAATACCAAAGAACAACAACAAGAACTGGGCTCTAATTGAGCTATAAGAAATAAAGAAAAAGGAGAAGAGGCAGCAGCAGCTAAAGTAATGCCCATAATACAAGAATAATAAATAATAACAATAATGAAAAAGACAATTTGAGAACCAATAAAAAAACAAAAAACAAGAAAAAAAAACTTGCTCAAATGTGGCGCCAATATTTAAGCTACAATCGAGATGTTTGTTGGCTTTTTTTTATGGCTCCATTCAGTTTTTGTTGTTGTTGTTTATCGTTAACGCTTGAAAAAGATCATTTGCTGTGGATGGGAGGAGGGGGGAGGGGGCAAGTCGGGCAGCAGCACAACTTATGCAATGCGACGGCGGCGGCGCCTTGACGATGTCTAAACGAAACTCAAGCTGAGATCTACCGAGTGTCCATCTATGGCTATAAAGCTGGCAGGCCATAATAAGTACGGGGTCGTTATGTGCCAATTTGTTATCTATATATTTTTTCTTATTTTTGTATTTTTATTTATTTTGTATTTTATTTTTTGCTTTTTTATTTTATTTTTTATTTGTAAACCGAAATCTGTGCCAATGGATATGTTGCGTCGTGTTTTTGTGGTTACAATCTATAGCTAGGTAGAGCTCACTATGCAGTGTATGTGTGTATGTGTATCGATTATGTGTATCGAGTATCGAATATCTGGGCTAACTGCAATCTGTGCCTGCCTGACTTAGTTAAGCGTCTAACAACAGCTGCCAGAGCTGCATTTAGTTAGCTAAACAGATCAGCAAGTGGCGCCCAATTTCTATATATATATACCTACTATATACACATGTACATGCATGTATGTATCTATATATCGATGTGTGTTTGTGTTTATGAGATGCGCGCAAATTTTAAATGATTTTCAATTGAATGTGTGTGTGCGAAGCTTCATTTTATTTTTGTTTCTTTTACTTGTCTATGATGTCGTACACACCCTGTGATAAATTAATTGTTAGAAAAAAGGAATTTTGCTTAAAATTTAATATGTAATAGCAACTATAATCAGTTTTTATAGATCTCTTGACCAATAATAGCATTTTATAAAAGACAAATATAAATTTATTATAATCTATTTATAAAATATTATTTTTTAATTTAAAGTACATTTTTTCTATTATATTTTTATATATATTTATTTTTAATTTCATTATTATTTTTTTAATTTCATTATTTTTTATTTTATTAATTTCATTATTTATTTATTTTAATTTTTTACTTTCATTATTTTTCTTTTATTTCATTATTATTATATTAATTTTATTATTTTATTTTTTTTTAATTTAATATTTTGTTTATTTCATTATTAATTTTTATTTCATTATTATTATTTTAATTTTATTATTTTTATTTTTTTTTTTATTTAATAATTTTTTTTTGTATTATTATTTTATATTATTTTTTTATTATTATTATTTTATATTATTTTTTTTATTATTATTTTTATTTTTATTTTTATTTTTTTTATTATTATTTTTATTTTTTTATATTATTATTTTTTTATTTATTTATTTTTTATTCATTTTATTTATTTCTTATTTAAAATACATTTTTTCTGTTTTTCTTTCCTTTTTTTTCTCATAGATATATATTTATTTATTTATTCTTAATTTGTATTATCTTTATTTTGATAAACATATATTTTCCCAATTTATTCAATAAGTTAATATAAAATAATTTTTCTAGTATGCCTTTCGGCTTGTTTACAGGGTATACATTCATTCCTATTTGTCTTTATTTTTATTTTTTGTTGCTTGCCGCACTTGAATTTGGGTCAACTTAAATTTCAAGCTGAGCTTTGCTTAAACAATAAAAAAGACAGAAAAAAAGGGGGAAAAAAAAAACATTACAATAAAGAGAAACTGAGAAAAAGGCAAAAACAACAGAAAACAAAACATTGTCAGCTATTTTGTTGTTGTTGTTGTTGGCGAAGTTTTATCTGTTTGTCGTTGTGCTTAACCCATTTCGGCATTTCTACTTAATTATTGAAATGGATGATTATCCATTATTATTGTTATTATTTTAATAAGTATTAGTTATGTTTGATGTTTAAAATGATTGTTTAGCCATTATTTGTTATAGCATATTCATAAGCAATATATATATTATACTCTTATTCCATTCTATCCCTAGGATCCAAACATATCCTTATCCTTATATTCTATTCCTATCCCCATTATTCCTAACATTGCTCTCTCTCTCTATATATATTTCTATTATAATTATTATTATTTATATATATATATATATATATGTTCTCCATTTCTGATCTATTTCTATAAATTTCCATAATTTTCTGCCTCTTTCCAGATCGTGAAGACCAATCGATTTTGTGTACTGGCGAATCGGGTGCTGGCAAAACGGAGAACACCAAGAAGGTCATACAATTTCTGGCCTATGTGGCTGCCTCCAAGCCCAAGGGCTCTGGTGCGGTAAGTGTCTCCCACATCATACACTGAGAGAAACAGAAACTATCTATTTATCGATATACAAATGCAAAGCGGTGCGTGGGCTCAATTGCCTTAGCAAAGCTGAAAGATGAAAAGACTTCTGACACATGCTTAGTTTAATTATTCATTATTGTCGTTGTCATTGTCATTGTTACGATTATCATTATGGTCATAATTAACCAGTTGATAAATGGGAAAATCATATGGATATTAAAAATATAAAAAAAAGACCAATTCACGTTGTGAATGTGTCGGCAAATTGGCTTTTATACGCCCTCAAGCTGGCTAGCAGTTGTGGGTGTCATGAGATACCCTGTACTAGTGAAGTGAAGTTGCTGGAGACTGACTAGTTTGCATATTTAATATGGAATTGAAATTGAAGAGAAATTAAGTAGAATTTTTGGCTCATTTAAATGCACATCTGGAATAACTAATTATATGCATACATAGATAACTATGTATATGCTTTTTACAGAGCATTTATCTAGTCGAGCAGGTGTTTTCTATTAATCAAACACTTTTTACTTTGTTGATTCAGCTAAAACGTTTTCCCAGCTGTTTGTGCGTCTCTAGTTACGAATTATGATCCGTAAATGCACAGACACGCGCACACAGAATGCACACACACATATATATGTTGCACTTAGCATTGATGTAATGACATTAAATCACGTAGCCCCCATGAGGCCAGGCATTATCCATATATGCAGCATTATATTGTGGCGCATATGGCGCAGACCCCAAACACTAGAAGCCGCACAATAAAGCCTCTATCTCTTACTCTCTCTCTCTCTCTCTCTCTCTCTCTATCTCTAACTCTTTCTACACACACTTCATTAATCAGTCAGATAATACACATATCTCTATCTCTCTCTCTCTCTCTCTCTCTCTCTCTCTCTCTCTCTCTCTTTCTGTGTGCGTGCCTGTAGTTACCCCAAGTTATTTGATGGCTGCTGACAAATGACTTTATTTGTGGTGCCCTACATCATCTGGCATAGATATGATGTGATGTGTGCTCAACACCCAAGTTTATAGAATAGATAATGTGAAAATAACAATAAATTAGGCGAGCAATTTGGGGCTTTTTCTTTTAATATTTCATTTTTAACTGGAAAGCCAAATAAGGAAAGCTTCAGATTCTCTGCGTTGATATATTTATTAGAGAATGTGATTTATTTTTTTTGCCATAAATGTGCGAATTGTTTGTGTGAATCAGAGGTCAATTGGGGTAGTTCTGGAGATATAACAACAATTTTATAGGAATAATTAATTATAATAAGAAGTAAATATTTGCTTTAAAGACATTTCGGTTTACAGTCTAGTTTAATATATAAGCTAATTAGTTTCTCAAGTAAATATTAACATATTTGATCTATTCAACTCATGTAGAGCATAAGCAATTCGTCATAGTTCAGTCCAAGTTGGGGCGTTTTTCATTTTATTTACAACCATAAAATAAACACCCGAAATGAAATTTAATTGCGCTTGTCAATGGACAGCAATAAAAGAAAATAATAATAAAAAAAAGGAGTGCTGGCGTGGAAGGGGGTAGAAGGGGTAAATAGGCAATTGCCACGCCCTCCCTTGCGGTGACAATGGAAAATTGAAGAGAATTGAAAATGAAATCACTTGAAATTGCGTCAGGGCCAACGAGTTAAAGTTTTTTCCATTTCATATCATTTTTTTGTTGTAAGTTTTTCCAACTTGTTTTTTTTTTTTTTGTTGAGATGTTCATATCTAGACGTAAAAATGTATGTCACATACTCGTTGTTGTTGTTTCATAATTTGCAGCTGTTGCTGCCATAATTGGCTTTAGCTTAGATGCTAACGAAAATCCTTTTAGACAGACGCTGCTGCTCTTGAGAGCTGTTGTGGAGCTCTCTGTTTTACAGCCTTATATGAGGGGTGATTCTACAACGTTGCTGTTGTTGTTGTTGTTGCTGTTGTTTTTCAGGTGATAAGCTGCAAATAAAACATAAAAAGTCAACACCAAAATTGAAATTGAAGTGCAAACAGTTGTTGTTATAGTTGTTCTTATTGTTGTTGTTGTTGTTGTTGTCATTTCAGCTGTTTGCCAGTTTGCTATTAATTATGATTATTTTGCCATAAATAGACGCTGATATCGTGCATGTTCAACAACTGAATCATTCACTCACTATACGTGCGAACAAAAGAAGGAAAAAACAAACTTCAATTCAAGGGAAGGTGCTACAGGTGTTACACACACACACACGCACACATACTTTGATTAGAAATTAGTTCATCATAATAGTAAGTCGTAAGAGCTTTGAGTCTGATAAGAGCGGGGAGGAAATAAATATCAGGAGAGAGAAAGAGAGGGAGGGGAATGGGAAGAGTGGGCATGCCTTAGCTTATAAGTCAGCTTGATTGGGTTTATAAGATTTGTTATTATATATTATTATTGTAATAAAGTATGCAGTTACCTAATGCAAGCAGAGACTGAAAGAGAGAGAGTGAGAGAGAGAGAGAGGAGACAGAGACAGAGAGGAAAGCAAAGAAATGTTTTTAAAGAGATATCAAGAATATATGACATATATACTTATAATATATATGGGATTCGTGAAACTCTTTTAGCAGGCAGATCAGGAAGATAAGGGATATATCAATTTTAAACATAAATATACAAACAAAATTCTTCATCAAAACTTTGCACAGCTTTGCATTTGTTTATTTTCAGAAATTTTCCCAACTATTTACTCTTATTATTCTTACTATAAAATATAGTTTTATATACCACAATTTGTTAAGAGTTTTACAACTTTCGAATTTAATTGTAAGCTTAAGGCGTTCTTTTTTTTCGACTTATTTTCCACTGCTCTATACTTAATAATTATATTTTATTTATTTATTTCATGTGCAAACGTTACACCTTCTACCACACACACACACACACACAAACACCACTGTATACACACACACACGTACACCACTATCTACCACTATTGTTTGCCGCTGTTGTTGTTGTACAATTGACTGGTTGTTGCTTTGTTTTATTTACTATTTAATGCGATTTGTACATTTTGTATAAAACATAATTATTAAATTTAATTTAATTTGTACATAAAAAAAAAAAAACAAAAACAAACGAAACCAAACCACACGCAACTCAAATCGAAATAAAAACCAACAACCAAAAATCCACAACCAACAACCAACCAACCACAAATCAACCCAAACTCCAAAATATGAACAGGTGCCGAATCCTGCCGTCCTCATTGTAAGTATGCAAAAGTCTAGAAATAGTACACTCTATATACATGCAAATATATTTATAATTAATTAATTTTTTTTTTAAATTAATTTCTAAACAAAATTAACATAATTTTCGTTGTCTTTCTGTTTGATTCTTACGAACAAATTCTGTTAAGAAGCGTTTCAATTTGTGTTCTTAAAAATGTCTTTAAATTGCCGTTATTTACTTATTTTTTCCCTTGCCTCAACTC